GGGTAAATAAAATAACTACCACTATTTTTAAAAAGAAGAAGAAAGAAATACCTGAGGTTTTTCATATTCAGAATATATAAAGAACTCTCAAAACTCAATAGTAAATAAAGACATTCACAGAAACAAAGAGTCTGATTAGAAAATAGGAAAAGAACATGAAGATAGAGGATATACATCATGGCAGATTAGCAAGTAAAAAGGTGCTTACCATCACTAGCCTTTAGGAAAAAGTAAATCAAGACCTTGGTGAGATGCCTCTACAGTTCTGTTAAGAATATTAAAGTACAAATATGATAACACCAAATACTAGTGAGGATTCAAAGAAACTGAATCTCTCATATATTGCTGATTGGCTATAAAGTGGTGCGGCCACCTGTATGAAAATATTTAGTGGTTTCTTAAAAGAATTAAATGTACAATTACCCAGTAACCCAGCAGTTACACTTCTGAATATTAATCCAAAGAAATAAAGATTTTATGTTCACACAAAAATTTGTATACAGCAACCTTGGAAGCTGAGGCAGGAGGATTGCAAGTTTCGGCCCAACCTTAGCAGTTTAGGGAGGCTATAGGCAACTTAGTGAGATCCTGTTTCAACATTTAAAAGGAATTTTTTAAAATGGGCTGAAGATGTAGCTTAGTGGGAAAGCATCCCTGAGTTCAATTCCCAGTGTAAAAAAAAAAAAAAAATATATATATATATATATATATATATATATATATATATATATATATACACATACACACATACATGCAATTTGTTCATGGCAGCAGTTTTTAGAATAGCTGAACATGGAAACAACCCAAATGTCCACCAATTGATGACTAGATGAATAAAATGTCCTTTACCCATCCTGTGGAATGTTATTCAGTCATAAAAATGAACAAAGTGGCCAGGCACAGTGGTGCATGCCTGTAAATCCAGTCACTTGGGAACCTGAAACAGGAGGATCACAAGTTCAAGGCCAGCCTGGGAAACTTTCCAGGACCTGGTCTTGAAATAAAAACAAAAAGGATTGGGGATGTAGCTCAGTAATAGAGCACCCTTGGATTTAATACCCAGTACCCTCCCCCACATAAAGGAACAAAGTGTTGATATTTTCTGAGGGATGTACCTCAAAACTATGCCAAAGGAAAGAGACCATCTCTCTCACAAGTGTGCACAAGCACACACACACACACACACACACACACATTCAAAGCCACATATGGTATGAATCCATTTATAAGAAATGTCCAGAACAGGCAAATTTATTAAGACAGAAAGTAAAGTAATGGTTGTCTGGGGCTAGAAAGAATGAGAGTAACTGTTTAATGGATACTAATATTGATGGTTGCACAACTTGTAAGACTACACTAATAACCAGTATAAGTATACTGCACACTTTTTAAATGGGTGGAATTTTTGATATGTGAATTATCTCAAATTTCAAAATTGTATTTGTACTTGTTATATTCCTAAGGTACAATAAAGAACTTGGGACATTCCTCTTGTGTCATACTTCACACAGAAGGGAGTAGTGTTTTTTAAAGTGAACTATCAATTATCTCTAGAGACAGAAAACCAATCAAAATACTTGGCATTTACTTGTCACAGTAAATTTAATTTTTGTGGCACAATAAAATTTACCATTTTAACCATTTGAAGTATATAATTTGGTAAACAAAATTTACCATGTTCACATATTTTTATCTTTCCCTTTAAAATGTACATTGGTTTCTATAAATAGAATTATGGCTTTAGATGCTTTTGGTTTCCAGGTTGGAGGTTAGGGAAGCTTGTGTGAGCTCAGCCTGATTCTGCTCCTTCTTGTGTCTCCTGCTTCCTGAAGCATCCACTTGTCTTTCAGCCTGTGCTTTCTGCCCAAGACTGTCCCCAATGCCTGTGCCATCCTCCTCCATGTGTCCTACCTGTTTCCAGATCTTCCTCTCTTTTCTTACTTATCACATGCAACTGACTTTAAGGAGACAGCTGAGAAGGTGAGGGGAAACCATGATCGGCTATGGTGAGAAGTGCAGCTTTTCCCTGTTTGATGGTCAGCAATATTGACCCATTCCACCTTTGCCATCTGGAAGGGAATCTGCCCAGGGAACTGCTGTCAGAGAGCTGTGGCCATTGCAAAGCCTATAAATAGGAGCAGGTGGGGAGCCAGATTCTCATCCTGTCTGCTTTGGTTTTCAAACACAGAGGTTAAGAATGACAGAATTCTATCAAATACCTGTAAACATTTTTGTCACAGTTTGAAGTTCCAAATTTTGCTGCATATTCATTATATATTCTATAAATTAAGGAATATCCCAAGAAATTTATTCTGGCATAATGATGTTACCTTGTTTTTTTTCTTGTGGTTCTGGGGAGTGAACCCAGGTCCTTTCACATGCTAAGCACACATTCCACCACTAAGCTACACCCCCAGCCTCAAACTATTTTTAATCATATCACAATCATATGGATATTATTTGTATGTCCTTTTTCTCTATTTAAACATTTATTTTAAAAAATTTTTAAATTAAAATGTTTATTAACTTTTTAAAAGACAAATTAAGGTAGTCTGTCCCTATTAGACAGCCTGTTTGCTGTTTAAAAATATTTTAGGTGAGGAGGGTTTGGGGATGGGAAGGATGATTCAATGAGACAGACATTATATACTTGTATGATTGCATTTCCATTGTGACTCTACACCATGTAGAGGAAGGAGAAGTTGTGCTCCATTTGTGTACAATGTGTCAAAATGCATTCTACTGTCATATATAATTAATTTGAACAAATTAAAAACTAAAATAATAAAAAAAATTTCTAAAAGGGTGCTGGGGATATAGCTTAGTGCTAGAGGACTTGCCTGGCACGTGAGGCTCTGGGTTCTATCCCCAGCACTGCAGAAATCAAACCAAAAAATATTTTAAAGGAATGGCTTTTTAAAATATTTTTTTTACTTGATGATAGACCTTTATTTTGTTTATTTATATTTGGTGCTGAGAATAGAACATACCAGGCAAGTGCGCTACCACTGAGCCACAGCCCTAGCCCTAGGAATGGCTTTTATTTATTTATTTTTTTTTTAGTTGTAATTGGACACAATACCTTTATTTTATTTATTTTTATGTGGTGCTGAGGATCGAACCCAACATCTCGTGCATGCTAGACAAGCGCTCTACCACTGAGCCACAGCCCCTAGGAATGGCTTTTTAAAATAATGTTTCTTCTATAATAAAATGAAATCTTATGCAGAAATGAATAGTAAGGGATGAAATGTAGTGAAAAGAACATACACTTTGTGCCAAAGTTTAACTTCTGCACCAAGTTTGTCCTCAGCAGAGGTACATGAATGTTTGAGCTGCCCGAGATGAAGACTCAAGTTCACAAAGCAACAACAGCCACCTGAAACATCTCTACTTTTAAAAAATAGTTAAGAAGCTGATTTTAAGAAATTTTTATTTAACATATACTCTTTCTTATCTAGGAGACTGCATTAAAAATAATAATAATAAGGATCAAATGTCCAAAATTTTAAAAATTAGCCACTTACCTTCTTCTAAATAAGTAAGCAATCAACTCTTCTAAGGCTGTTTGTCATAGAACAGCATTTCTTAAAGCAGATTGCAAGAGATACTATTCGTGATTATACCAAAAAGTGTTTCTTGATTGTAAGCTAAAGAATCTTTTGTTTCACAGGACATCACAGGTGTCTTTTTTCAGAGTTTCCCAGGGCCCGCACCCCGGTACTGAGAATTGAACTCAGGGACATTTGACCATGGAGCCACATCCCTAGTCCTATTTTATATTTTATTTAGAGACAGGGTCTCACTGAGTTGCTTAGCGTCTCAGCCTCCCACACCAATTCGTGTCTTCATACATGTACTTTGAATAATAATGTCCATCACATTCCACCATCATTTCTAACCCATGCCCTCTCCCTTCCCCTCTAACCCCTCTGCCCTATAGAGTTCATCTATTCCTCCCATGCTCCCTCTCCTTATCCCTCTATGAATCAGCCTCCTTATATCAAAGAAAACATTCGTCATTTGGTTTTTTGGGATTGGCTAACTTCACTTAGCATTATCTTCTAACTCCATCCATTTACCTGCAAATGCCATGATTTTATTCTCTTTTATTGCTGAGTAAAATTCCATTGTGTATATATGCCACATTTTTTTTTATCCATTCATCTACTAAAGGGCATCTAGGTTGGTTCCACAATTTAGCTATTGTGAAGTGTGCTGCTATAAACATTGATGTGGCTGGGTCCTTAAAGTATGCTGTTTTTAAGTCCTTTGGGTATAGACTGAGGAGAGGGACAGCTGGATCAAATGGTGGTCCTTTTTTTTTTAGTTGTCGATGGACCTTTATTTATATGTGGTGCTGAGAATCGAACCCTAGGCAAGTGTTCTACCACTGAGCTATAACCCCAGCCCTGGGCCTATAGCATTTTAAAGTTCTGCCAACACCCAGTGGGAACCCATAGCCACACTTCAGGCATCCTCTACACAGCAACCTCACTGAGCAGAGTCTTGCTTTTGTGGAGTGAACGTCACAGGACACTTTTTGAGAAGCTACAAGAATTTAGGGAAATTGATGATGTTTTGGAGTTTCTTGGGTTTTTTGTTGTTTTGTTTTCATTTTGTAATGAAAACAGACTCGTGTATGCTAGGAGTATGCTCTACCATCTACCAATGAAGTATATCCCCAGTCCCTTGTATATATTTTTTTCTATTCTACACAAAGAAGAGAATCTTGCATTCATTTTGTATCATACTTTTTTTGTGTGTGTATGGTATGAGATATTGAAGCTCACACAAGCTAGGCAAATGCTCTAACTTCCACTGAACTACATCTCCCGCCCTTTTTATTTTATTTTGAGACATGATCTTTCTAAGTTGCCTAAACTAACCTCAAACTTTTAATCCTCCTGCCCCAGCCTACCTAACAGCAAAGATTATAGGCTTGCTCCACCGCATTCCATCTAATGACAAATAATTTTAACAGTGTTTTCTTGTCCCAGGACACCAGGGCTCTTCAGTTTGATTGATACCATATGGCCCCCAGCAATACCCCTAAAAGCACCCGGCCATAGTCAGCCCTGTGAAGAGGTAGGTACAACACCAGGGAGCCCTCCATCCTCAGGTTGCTCTGTGCCAGCCACTGAGCCAGGGCTCTCACCATTGCTCCATGACCCCACAGTGGCAACAGGAATCCCTCTGTACCTAGGCCCTTTGTGGTGGTATGTGAATACAAGGTAGGACTAGGATTGGGATTTTCTCTTCTCATTCGGGAGCCCAGTCTATGGCTGCTTTCCCTTCCATGCTATACAATATGCTTCTCAGGTTAATTTATGATGAATTTTTAAACAGCAGTCCTCACACACTGTTATAACAGTCAGAGTCTTAGCCTCATTATAAACTAGGCAATATTTTCCCACCCCTTCCAATCACTCATGAAACCAGCACTTAGTTACCAATTTACAGTAGGAATACAATGAAATCTGTAAATATTCCTACAACCATGAGGGTAGCTAGGAATGTCCATTCCTACCCTATCAAATTATTTATGGTAGTAGCTCAAAGGCAGAAAAAATGGGTTAAAAAGTTTCTCCTTCTCTCCTTCCTGGGCCTTGTCCAGGAGGCTAGCCTGTGGTTGCTTTGGGTCATAGATGCCTAAGCTGAAAAAGGAAATATGTCTTTGTATAGCTGACTTCAGTGGAGTGCTACATTGATGAACTTGTCCTGTCAGTCCAATAGTAGGTGTCAAAAATGCCCATATATAGATTAACAAGATGTTGAAGAATAGATTTCTAAAATGAAATCTTAAATTGATAATAAATTAAGAAATACAGATGTTCTTATGCTTGGTCCCAAAAGTAAATAATGTAACCTACTTCTTGTATAACCTTCCAGAGAGGGTACACATCTATAAGTAAATATGTATATAAGAAAAAATAGATTGGAATGATGTATTTGAGTGTTTTAATACTTCATTCATGTTCTACCTTTGCCTTCATTTTAAGCAGGTCAAAAGTCACCTGCCTCCTCCTTCCTTCTGTTACGTCCTCTCAGTTCATCCCAATCTCGGTCAAATTGATATGATTGAAGGAGACTCCATATCTAAGCTTCACCAGCCTCCAATTCTCCATTGCCTAAGAGATATTCTCCAGGTAACATCTTTGTTTCTAACGAGTTCTTTAGTACTTTTGCCATGGTTGTGTACTTTGGATGATGTTACCAGTCTTTCTCAATGTTTTTCCAGACTGACAATCTGGGTGCCCGCTGCAGTTTCTATGCCAGAGTGATTTATCAAAGACCACAGGTAACATTCTCTCATTCTCCCTGTCTCCCTCTGTCATAAGGATAATCTTTTAGAAATTAATGGAGTGTCAAAATACAAAAGTACATTTAAAATCCAGGTGAACATGATCCAGCTGAAGGGGTAGTACATTCATTCCAGCACAGGTGTGGACTACCAGCTTCTACCATGCTAAGTACTAGGATATTTAAAAAAAAAAAAAACAGGTGTAGCTCTGCCCTTGAAGATTTTAGCCCTATATTATTTGTTAAATTCTGACACGTAGGCAGGTTGAAGAAAGGAAATAGAAGCTGAAATCTCAATTATGTGGTAGAATTGGGAATCTTAAGATTGTGTTCATCCACTCTGGGAACACTTCTGGGACTCTTCTACGGTAGAAGAGTCCTCTTCCCTGTGGTCCCTTTGAGGCCTTGGGAAGTTCTAGGAAGTGGCAATTTAGAGGAGTTTGCTATTGGATCAGCTAGGAGTAGACGAGGTAAAAAGTTGTCCTTGGCAATCTGAATATATGAACTAAGTTCTCCAAGACATCACTCTGGCCTTGGATGGTAAAGGAACCACTCTCAAAGGCTACTCATCTTGTGGGACTCAGAGGTGATCCTATCTGTCAAGCTCTTGTCCACTCATGAGTAATATGCTCCAGTGTGGAAGAGAATGAGAAGAGAATGAGAGGACCCCTATGCACTGCCCCCAGGGTGTGCAAGGGAAGCAGACAGCACCCTGGTGCCATTGCTGCTGCCACTGCACCTGTGGCCAGGCAGGTTGGAATGCCAGGAAATTGCCTGTGGAAGAAGCTGAAGCCTGGGCAGGTAGCCTGGACTGGGCCAGCCAGGCACCCAACACCACCAAGGACAGAAGTGGCAGAGTGCAGATGTGGCCCCAGGGACAATCTTTTAACAAATCTATACTTGGTTTATAAAGGTTTGACACTCACCACTCTGGCTTTTCTTTTTGTTATAAAGTATTCCAAAGCAAATGCTGGATCTCATGGCATTTCATGTCTTCACTCCTGATGTGAATCTAGCCAAGAGTGGTGGTGCATGCCCATAATCGCAGCACCTTGGGAGTCTGAGGTAGATGGATCTCAAGTTGAAGGCCAGTCTCAGCAACTTACCAAGACCCCATCTCAAAATTTAGAAATGAAAAGGACTGGGGGTGAGCTCAGTGGTATAGCACCCCAAGATCAATTTCCAATTCCACAACAATAAAAGTAAAAATAAATCTCTAAGAAACATGTATGCTTTATATATGGCCACAGCTCAGCTGCCTGGTTGGGAGCCTTTCTTTTATACATAAAGTATCTGAAGTTATTTTCTATGGAGTATCTATTTTAAACAATGTTTTTTTCATGTCTCTAATCATCCATAGGTGATAGGCAATGGAAGAGCTATGACTAAAATAATATATTTCTTAACCTCTAATTAAGTTATCGAGTTGCCTATAGAAAAATATCACTAAAATTGTGCTATCATAGTGTGATACTACTTCATCTACTTCAGGAGTGATCATCTACTTCAGGAGTGGGCAGACTGTGCTTATAACAGGCCAGATCATCAATGTTTTAGGTTTCTTGGGTCACATGGTTTCTGTAACAATTAGTCAGCTCAAACTCCCAAACCACTGGGATTACATGTGCGCCCCTGCACCCAGCTAGGGTTAATTCTTGATGTACATTCTGTTGGTTTGCACTGCACATGTGTATACAGACAGGTATGCACCATTATAATATCATTTCAGTGCCCCAAAAGTCATCTGTGCTCTATTTATCCCTTCCTCCCCAACCCTTAGCAACCACTAAACTTTTTACTCTTTCCAAAGTTTTGCCTACTCCAGAGTGTTATATAATTAAAATCACAGTGAGTAGCCTTCTTAGACTACTTTTTTTCACTTCATCCTAGGCACTTAAGCTTCTGTCTTTTCATGACTTGATAGCTCATTTCTCATTAATACTGAATAACAGTCCATTGTCTGGAAGTGCCAACATCTATTTATCCATTCAGCTACTGAAGGACATCTTGTTTCTTCCAAGTTTGGGCAATTATAAATAAGACACCTATTTTTAATAAAATTTTAGCAAGAACTTGGTAGTAGCACTGTTTTAAATAATTGGCTAATAGTATCTTTTTATAGAAGATAAAGATAAGAAGATTTCTTGTTACTGACTTTTTTCATACTCCTATAATATAGATAATTTTATAGTTAATTAAAAGGTTTGGGTACATTAGTATCTGGAAAGATAGACCTTAGCCCAAATCCCAAGTATTCATAAAGAGTATTTTAAAATCCTTGAAGAATGTCAGAATTCCCACCATTTCTTAACTTTGTAGAAATCTTTACCCTTCCTGATAATATCTACTAATTTTTTAAATTTTGGTTTTGCTAATTGTTTTAAAAATAACCTTTGTAACTCCAGGATCTGATACAGGGTCATGCAGTATGCTCAGGTCATATCTCTTTCATCTTTCTTAGATGGAATACTTATTTATCTTTGCTTATGTTTTGGCTTTTTGTTTTTGTGGTTCTGGGGATTATAACCAGGGGGCTTTGTACATGCAAGCAAGGATTCTACCACTGAGCCACATTGCCAGCCCAACCTTGAGATTTTTCAAAAAATAAAAACCAGTTACTTAGTAGAATGTCCCTTGGTTTAGGTTTATCTGATGCTATCTCTTGAACAGATTAGATTATACATTCTAACATTCTCTACAGAAATACCACATAAAAATACTATGTTCAGGGCTGGGGTTTTGGCTCAGTGATAGAGCGCTTGCCTGGCATGTATGAGGCACTAGGTTTGATCCTTGGCACCACATAAAAATGAAAATAAAGGTATAAAAAAATGTCATGTCTATTAAAATATATATATATATTATGTTCTGCCAGGCACAGTGGCTTATGCCTGTAATCCCAGCAGCTCAGGAGGCTGAGGCAGAAGGATCACAAGTTCAAAGCCAGACTCAGCAATGGCCAGGTGCTATGCAACTCAATGAGACCCTGTCTAAATAAAATACAAAATAGAGCTGGGGATGTGGCTCAGTGGTTGAGGGCCCCTGAATTCAATCCCCAGTACCTCCCCGCAAAAAAATACTGTGTTCATATCAAGAGACATATAGTTTATTTGTCCCAGAAAGAATTGTAATGTTTTATCAATTGGTCAAGATGGTGTTTCCATGATTTTTCACTTTGAAGTCAAAAAATAAATATTTCATGGGGATAAGGAAAGATGGTGGACTAAGATAAACATCATTACCCTAGGTACATGTTATAAAGACATAAATGGTCTGACTCTACTTAGTGTAGTGTTACAGCCAGAGAAATGAAAAATTGTGCTCCACTTGTGTACTGTGAATCAAAATGTATTCTGCTATCATGTAGAACAAATTAGAACAAATTAATTAATTAATTATAAATAAATATTTTACTTATTAATAAGCATTTTGTGGAAAGATACTTTGAGACTATAAATATCTTAATATTATTTCTTGTACATTTATTAGCTGACATTCAGCATTGATTAGGAGCTTTTCATTTTGCTGATTTATTTCTGTAGTCATTTATTTATGTCAGTATAGACTAATGGATTAGTTTTTTATTCAGTAAGTTATAATCTGTTTTGGTTGTTCATTTTGATGCTCAAATTTTACCAGATTTAGGCTGGCTCCTATATCTTTTAGACATGTTTCCATCATTCTTTGAGTCCTCCCTTATTTTTGACACAATATTTCAGAGTCATCTTGACATTTTATGCTTTAGAATCAGCCCTCATTTCAAGGAGCCCTGGTTGATATCAATGGAAAATGGTATTTAGAAGCCAGGGTCTAGGTTCTAGCTACATTTGCTGCTATTGGGATGTTATTGTTTGTAGGTCCTCTCATTGAATAGTGCAAGGAGACATATGTATATATTCATGCACTCATGCACACATGCACACCCACATCCATATCTACTTCTATATTTAGATTTATTTAGAGTTGTGATTTCACACCAACACAACTAACCATAGACCATTACCACAGAATTTACTCCTGTCTTCCCCACTTCTGTATGTATAAATCCCTCTTCAACAGAGAGAAAACTAGCTCCATTGTCCTCAGTATTACTTAATGCAGTTTCCTGTATATAATCAACCTCCCAAACATGCAGACTACCTTCTCCTTCCCAATCCACAGTTCTAGACCACGGAGTTCACCTCTGTTGAGTTCTATTAGCCAACCATGTGTAATTCTCAGCTTCACCTGACAGTCCATGCCAGCAAAACAAGCTGACCCTCAAGCTAGCCATGCCCTCAGGCCCTAGCCCTATTATCTGTCTTTGGTCCATTTGTATCTACTACGTCCTAATCCCTGGCCAATGGGCAGGGGAAGACTGCCAGTTCAATAGAACTTGGAAGGACATTATAACTTTTGCAGATTAGGGGAAAATTTATAATTAAAGTAAAGAAGACAAAAAAATAAGAAAAATAAAAGCTGTTACAGATACAGATATTTATGACACCTACTTTATACCAAGGTCCTGTACAAAAAGTCTGTTGGTGAGTGAGATCTAGTCTTAACCCTCAGGAAACTTGCAGCTACTCTAAGAGAAGAATGTGTATGCTCTAGATAAAAGATAGCATTCTAGGTATACAAACTCAGAACAAGAAAGAATGAACAATAAAATTTACCTGAGTAGGTCAGAAGACAAGTAGAGCACTGCCTGCAAAGTGTGGGTTGTATTCCAACAAAGGAATCCATTAAACAGGTGCACAGTTGGGCACACAGCTATGTTAATGGGGCTAGTGACCCGTGTGCTAAGTCTATAGTATGTTTTTGGGGTTGGGTTTGGTTTGGTTTGGTTGTAAACTGGGGATTGACTCAAAGGGCACTTAATCACTGAGCTACATCCATAATCCTTTTTATTTTATTTTGAGGCAAGATCTCACTAAGTTTCTTGTGCTGACCTCAAATTTGGTTCCTCCTGCCTTGGCCTGCTGAGTCACTGTGATTATAGACATGTGCCACCATGCCCAAACTCCTGTTGTGTATTTTAAAGTATTTTGAAATAATAACTTGTTAGTGATAATGATTATTAAGATTGTTGCTTTTAAAAATTAATTTTGGATATAAGAATAGTTAATAGTCTTTACTTTGAACTTGTAGCTGAAGAGTCTGCTTCTTTTGGCACAAAAGGAGATTTGGCTGTTGGTGACTGACATCACCCTGCAAATGAAGGATGGGAATGACCACCACCTCCCCAAAATCTTGCCAGTTTGTGTGACCCCCTCATGTGTCCTGGGTCCAGAAATCCTAGAAGCACTCTCCACGGCTGCACCTCATAGCATCCTCTTCAGGGATGCTCTCCGAGACCAGGGTGTGCTTGCATCTTCTCCACAGTCTTGATTGGGGTGACTGATCAGTGTCCATATGATGTCTCCTATGGCTTCCAAATGCATCTTGCTCAGCACTGCTGGCACCATCACATAGCCCAAGACAGACATGACCTGTGCCCTGCAGAGGCCCATGTTACCAGTTTAGGCTTTTGCTGAGCCCTGTTCATGGCTATCTGCACAGTACTCCAAGGTTCTAGTGTACCCTTTAGCGATCCCATCAGTCACTTCATGATTGTCTTTAGTGGTGTAGAAGCCATCTGAAGTCATGATTTGGGTGATTACTTTTTAAAACAAACCAAAAACTAGAACATTAGAAATATATATACTTTTTAGTCCCTTTTACCTAGGTGTCAAAACTAAAATCCCGCCTAAACTGTATTTTTTTACATAGTAAATTTAATGTATCACAAAATTTACTCTTTTCAAAATGAAGTTGAATTTAGTATTTGCATGCTTTTCCAGCTTAGCTCACTGGAGGCCACTTCTATATGTATAAAATCTCTCCAAAAGAAAGAAAACTGGCTCCATTTTCCTCAGAAGTATGTAGTACAGCTTCCTGTATATAATCAGCCTCCCAACTATGACCTGGCATTAGGAACAGACCGTCCCCACAATTGCACACTTATACTTGCATCACTTTGGGAGGATGGAAAGGAGACTATCTTTACTGGCAGGAGAATTCACATTTTTCTTCAACACTTCAATAATATGAAGTATCTTTGTTGGCAGGTCAGATTGTCTGTGTTGAACGGACTGTCCTGTTGCTTCAAAAACCCTTTTGGTGTATGGCCTCTGGCGCTGGCTCCTGTGAGCTGACTGGCCCAGTGATACTGGATGAACTAGACTCCCTCACACCTGTTAATTCCATTTGCAGCGTGCAAGGTGGGCAGCCTTCTCATTGTCTTAAATATTGTATTATTTTGTATTCATTTACTTGTTTGTTTAACAAGTTTTTGTTGAGTGCCTACTTGGAATGTACAAAAAATAAAAAGAGCTTCTTGACTCTCAGACCAAACAAACCTAAGACTGCAGAATTTCAAGTGCTCCATTTTCCAGTAATTAGGCCCTCACCTTGTTGGGGAAGTCAGGAAGCTCCCTAAAGACAAGAGGCTTGAACTGAGATCTGAAGAGTGGGTGGGACAAATTATGTCAGGGGAAGAAGCAAGGAACAGGACTTATGAATAAAGGCAATGGACAGGAGAGACCTGGTAAGCCAGGGATACCGTAGAGCAGGCAGGATAGGCAACTGGATGAAGGAACTAAGAGGATACTAGATGACCCAATCAAAAGTATACTCTGTTCAGGCATGGTGGTACATACCTGGAATCCTAGCAGCTTAGGAGGCTGAGGTAGGAGGATCAAGAGTTCAAAGCCAGCCTCCGCAATCATGTACAATCAGAGAAATGAAAAGTTGTGCTGCAATTGTGTATAATGAATCAAAATGCATTCTGCTGTCATATATACATAGTTAAAATAAATAATTTAAAAAAAAAAAAAACAGCCTCAGCAACTTAGTGAGGCATTAAGCAACTCAGTGCAACCCTGTCTCCAAATAAAATATAAAAAGGGCTGGGAATCTGGTTCAGTGGTAAAGTACCCCTTGGTTCATTCCCTGACACCAAAAAAAAAGTATGCTCTGTCATCCATAGAGAAAATACATGGTCTAACATCCATTCCTACAGAGCAGATGGAGGGACCAGGATGACAGTTGTGGCAGCAATATAAAAGTAAACCCAGGAATGGGTTTAATTAGGAAAATTGGTAAGTTAAGTGATGAATCGGACCATAGGATAGAGGACATATATAGAGGAAGAGGATTATGCAGCTACATCCAAGCTTTAGGCTTGGATGAGGAAGTAAAGGTAGTGCTATAAATTGCCAAAGCAGGACACATGTGTAAGGCAACTTTGAAGGGAACCATCTCATTATGTCTGGAGAGTTTGGGTGATTTCATTACATCTGAGATGTTTCAAAGCTGGTTGGATATATGGGTCTGGAGCTGAAAACAGCATTAAAAATGCTTTCTTTTAACTTTTTTAAAATTATTTAATAGTGAAAGTAATACATACTTATTGAAACCAGTGAAAGCTGAACCCAGAAGAAGGTAGCAACCTCCTGGCAGGTACTCCCTGTGCACCACACATGGAGTACATGACTCCTGGCTTTAGAGGGAGAAGGTTTGTTGTGCAGATTGGGTTGGTTTGCTACATATTATTCTGTAACTTGCTTTCCTCACTTAATATTCTAGCCAGAATATCTGCCCAAGGAAATAGAGATCCAATATAAGAGTTTCACAGTCGCATATTAGTCCCTCATGAAAAAACTGTTCCTCGAATGATGGATAGCCAGAATTTTCCTGTGCTTTTGCAATTACAAACAAGGCGTGATAAACATTCTGGACATCATCCCCTACTGATTGTATACTATTGTCCTACTATCATATACTATTGTATAGTATTGTCCTACTATAAAGGAGGATTTCAGGAATTTATAGTTCAAGTATTTTTTGGTACTAGAGCCTGAATCCAGGGGTACTCTACCACTGAGCTATATCCCCAACCCTTTTTATTTTTTATTTTGAGACAGTGTTGCTAAGGCTGGCTTGAACTTGCAATCCTCCTGCCTCAGCCACACTCCAATGGTTCATGTGTTTTTAAACACTTTATTGAGATATAGATTCAATTTATATTTATAATTCATTCATTTAATGTGTTTTTAGCCAGGTACAGTGGCTCATGCCTATAATCCCATCAACCCGGGAGACTGAGGTAGGAGGGTCACAAATCTGAGGCCAACCTCAGCAATATAGCAAGACCTTGTCTCAAAAAATATATCTATTAAGTATTTTAGTGAATTCACATAATTGTGCAACCATTACTACAGTCTTAACTTTGAAACAAAAAGAAACCCTGTACCTATCATCAGTCACTCCCATTCCCCCATCACACCCTGGTCTCAGGAAACCACCAGTCTACATTATGCCCCTCTGAGTTTGCTTGTCCTCAACCTGTCATATAAGTGGAATCATATGATATGTGGTTTTTCTTGATTGGCATCTTTAACTTAGCATAATGTTTGCAAGATTTATCCACAATGTAACATCATTTTTTTTTCCTTTTATGGAAGAATAATATTTCATTGTACAGCTATGCCATCAGTTGGTGAACAGTTGGGTTATTTCCACTTTTTTGACTATCATGAATAGAAATGCTATGAATATTCATGGAGAATTTGTTTGAATTTGGCTATGTATCCAAGAATGGGATTGTTAAGTCATGTGGTAGCAAGACCTTGTCTCAAAAAATACTATTAAGTATTTTAGTGTGTTTGCATAATTGTGCAACCATTACTACAGTCTAACTTTCAAACAAAAAGAAACCCTGCACCTTTAACCTTTTTGAAGAGTCTCAGTATGTTTTCCAAAGTGACTGCACTATGAGTTTATATATTTTTGTTCTTTTATTTATTATTTTTAAGTAGTAGAGATTGAACCCAGGGCCTCAAGCACTGAACTGCTATACCCCCAGCTCTTTTTATTTTATTTTGAGAGAAAGCCTCACTGTATTGCCCAAGCTGGCCTGGGACTTGCTATTCTCCTATCAGCGTCCTGAATAGCTCAGATTAAAGGTATGTGGCCACCACACCCAATGTCTATGCAATTATTGCTAAACTGTTTTCAAGAAAGTATATAAAAAGTCAAATTTCCAAAAGAAACCTTCTAGAAGGCCTGTTTTTCTCTACCCTTACCTGCCACTAGTTTCTGATCCTTTTTATGAACAACAGCAAAAAGGCTGTGATCCCTGTATGTATTGCTTTAAATCATGTGATTTTTATGAGATTGAGCACTTGTTCATGGTCAAAGCCCTGTGGGATTTTTTTTTTCTGTGAATCTCTTTTTAGGTCTAGTGCTTGAACACAACTAGGGTTGTGAAGAGAGGTTGTGAGCACAGTGGAATATAGAGGTTCTATAGACAACTGACTCTACTTTAAGACCTCCATTTTCTCATCTATAAAATAGGGATATGAGAATTAGTCTCAAAGCATTGTTGAGGATTAAATGAGATAATGCATGAAAGGCAAGGAGCACTCAGTCTAGTAGAGAAAATAATAGATAACGCTACCAGGAACCATAAAGGGAGAGAGAGGATGGCTGACTAAAGTCAAGCCAGTAATCAGAGGTGTACTTGAGTTATCAGGATTTCTCAGGCAGTCTGTTCAGGCTGGCTAGGCCGTTCAGAGGGCATATGGTAAATCCACAGAGGTACTAGGTGCCATTGTAAAACCTCCAAGTCCTAGGGGAAAGGCAAGATTGAAAGGGGAGGCCAGGGTGGGATTGGGTTGGTTCTGTCTTATTCTGCTTTCCCTGGTTCATACTGATCAGATTTTTAAATGATGCTGTTCTTCAACCTCATACATCAGTGATGGTACAAAACAGATAATATCAGCAGGAAGAGGTAGGGAAGGCAAGGGGTTTGGGTGGCCCAATAGACTATAGTGGCATCTGGAAGCCCCACCATGAAACTACTTCTTGATGTACAGCTGCTCAGTTCTCCCTATTGAACAGGCTATGGGGGACAGACTGCAAAGTGTACACAACTACAGCGTCATGCCCCTGAGCAAACAGGCTTTTGGAGACAGAGTGTACCATGAAGATGGACACAGACTGGGTCTCATGAGTGGACAGGCTATAAAGACCAAGCACATTGTACAGAGTGGCATGGCCTGGGTTCCCTGAGCCAACAAGCTATGAGGAGAAATCCACAATGCAGACATGTGCCTGTCCTATCTCCCTCTCCCATCCCCCATCCCTCTTCTTGTCCCCTCTCCCAGGTTCCCTTAGGTGCTGTTGCTCATGGCCCACAGCCATTTCTCAAACTTGGGGTCTCCAGTCACCTCTATGAGTACTTTTCCCTTCCACTTTCATTCTCATTGGTTGCATTATCCTCCCTCTCCACTCTCTTTTACCTCTCCCAGAGGTCAGGACTCATCCAGAGCTTAAAGGAGGGATGGGGCTGGGACTTTGGCTCGGTGGTAGCGCACTTGCCTGACATGCGTGAGGCACTGGGTTCGATTCTCAGCACCACATATAAATAAATAAAATAAAAGATCTATCAACAACTAAAAAAAAATATTTTAAAAAAGAGCTTAAAGGAGGGAAAAGGATGGCAGAACACCCCCCCAACCCCCACCCTTGTATAATTCTCTGCCCTGTGCCAGAAAGTCACTGCAGTGCCCCACACCAGTTCTTATTCTGTGAGCATAAGAGTCACCACCACCTATTGCACTGTTTTATGAGACAACAAAAGCACTGTTGGCTAAAGGAGGGCTTACAATTTAACTCATTTCTAACTGCATCCAGTGAGTGCCACAGAAATGCAAGAAAGAGTCAAGCTACCCATTCCCACACCTGCAGCAGTAGGGTTAGCTATTGGCAACTGAAGGAACTGTGTTTTGTTTTGTTTTGTTCTTGGAGCTTTAAATTGACTTTCATTTGCAACCTGACTTTTCTGAATTCTCAAAAATGATATTAAATCACTGTAGTTATCCTTTTCCTCTGTAATCTCCTTCTTGATATCTGTCTCTCTGCTCTAACTTTGCGTGGTTGCTCTACTTTCAGCTATTGTCTTGGTACCCCAGGAATTAATGCTTTAGATTTGTTCAAACTATAGGTTTCTGTAGATGTTCCTCACCAAGTTGAAGAAACTAAACTCCTTTTTTCTTAGTTTGCTAAGAGTTTTTATCTTGATTAAATGTTGGGTTTTTTTCAAATGCCCTTTTTATATCTTAATCTGATCATATAATTTCTCTTCTTTAGCCTGTTGATAGTAATGAGTTACACACTGATCTTTGAATGGTTGACCCAGCCTTGTGTACTTGGAGTA